GAGAACAGTGGATTTATGCATGTCAGAAATTATTTTGTCTTTGCTGAAGACTTGAGAATAAAACTCCACCATTTAGAATATCCATTGCTCCTCAATGATCAATTAACCATTCTGTGTAGGACAGCTACTTTAAATAGGTACTGTGCTTCTTTATAGGGTACAAAGATGCAAGTACAAGTAGTATTCCCAGTGTTAACAAGCTTTCAAACTGGTTGACAAAGATTTGGTCAGAGAGAAGAAAATTAAGTTCGGAGCCCTGGTGTAGAGTAGAGGCTCTCAGAGTGCTCAGTACCATCGCCTGAGAGTATGAGAAATGCAGATGCTTAGATGTCCTGAGTGTGTTAATGACAGTCTGTTTTGGACAATCTGTACCCGCGCACCCTCTAAGAGAGCTTCCGAGGATGGGGTCATTTGCGCTTCTGAAGGAAGAGAGCTCAGTGTTGCCAGAAACATCACAGAAGGTCCTTTAAAAGATAGCACCTGTGTTGGAATCATATTATCCTTTGAAAGAATCTCCATGCCTTTGGTTCTTCCATCCAGCTCATCTCGTGGGTTTTCATCTTCAATTGATAAATGAACCGCTTTGTTCTTTCCAAAAGATACTGCAGGAATGAGAAGTGTGCTGTACCTACTTTGTTGGCAATGAGCTCTTTAACTTTAGAAAAATATGTTCAGCTAATGAGAAACTTTTATCTGAGAACTTGATGGGTTTTTAAAGTATTATTCATTACAAACAGGCTGGGCCTTCCTTTTTCCTAATTCAAGACCAGGTGGACCTTTTCAGTGTTTATCCCCCCAAAGGATGGACATGGTTTCTGAAGATGGTCATATCTCAGGGGGTCTCATTTCCTCAGATCTTATTGTGAATTTGAACATGTGTTCCATGGGCATTTATGAAAAGGGACGAGAAGTACTTGAGCATGAATTAGTCCTTGTTGTATCCTCTGCGTATTTTGCTATATTTTCCTTGTCTGTGCTTTCTCCCACTTCCATAGCTTTAGCTGGATTAACAGGGAATGAATACAGCATTGAACAGACTTGAGGAAGCTAGACTCATGCAGAAGAGGGACCGCATGCCTGAGTCAGTGGGGCACCATGGAGAGGGATGGAGCCACAGTGAGCTGTGGTCTTCCTGGAGTTGAGAGTGAGTGGAAGGGTGCGAAGCGTGCTCATGTCTGAGAGTTATGAACGGGTTTTACCCCACTGGTTGTAGGTAGGGACCATTAAGAAAATAAGCAAAACTCATAATCCGAACAGCATTTCAGGGATTATAATTCTGCTTTTGGAATATGAAAGTAATCTCGTGGGAAAGCAGACTAGCATACTCCCAAGTGAAAATATGAGTGTATCGGTTTACAGTTTTGGAGAAGACCTTGAAAACACAGAATAAGGAATTCTGAGATAAATGCCAAAAAACAAAATGCAGATGCCAAAACAGCAAAGAATCTGAAGTCATCCTCAGGTTCTGACTCAGCACCTGTTCTTGTATTCAGTCATGAAAAGAGCACTCTGAGATCAGAAGCAGACATCCCCAAGAGGTGGGAAAACCAAAAACATGGGCACCCTGAGAGGCTCAGCCAGTGTGCATCTGCATAACCCCCGCATGCTGTTAAGCATCAGCCCTGCCACATGGTCAGATGTGAGCTTGAAGTTCTCTTCACTAATTCTAGACCATCCCTTGCTCTGTAGGCAATTTTGTTAGAAAGACATTTTATAAACATCACAGAATGTCACCGTTGTCCTTACCTCCCCTTCCCTTTTGTAAGATAGGTGCAGGTTTTCCACAGATAGTACTTAAGGCACTTCTTGCACAGAGAGATGAAATGAGGTGTGAACCACGCGTGCTGCTGTAACAAATCACCACAAATCATTCTATTTAAAAGAACAGATGTTTATTGTCTTACAGTTCAGGAGGCCAGAGTTCAAAATTAGAGTCATCAGGGCTGTGCTTCCTCTGGGCTTGGAGGGGAAAATTCGTTCTTTATTTCTGCCTTCATTCAGTGACTCAAGGTGTCTCTTGGCTTCTGGCCGAGTCACTCCGATTTCTGCTTCTGTCTTCCTATGACCTTCTTCTCAATGCATGTCTGTCTCCGTCTTGTCTGTTACCAGGACACTTGTCGTTAGATTTGGGGCCATCTTGATAATCCAGAATGATCTCATCTTAAGGTCTTTAATTTAGTCACATATGCAAAGACCCCTTTTCCCCCACTGAAGCCACATTCCCAGTTCCAGGAAACAAGCCTGGGTAGATCTTATTGGAGACCACTATTGGACCCTGCATCTTTCATCTTATCTTGATCACTCTTTTTTCATTAGTCTTTAAACTTTGAGAATGATGAACTCCTTTGAATAATCTGATAAAAAGAAAGATATTTAAACGTGTTTTTATTAAAATTTCAGTGAATTCAAAATGCACTGTCCCCACCCCAGCCCCACACGTGTACTATAGGTTGAAACACTTAGTCTATGTCCTTTTCAAATGGTAATATCCAAAACTAACCACAATTTTTCTTTGTGATCTGGCTAATGTAGAAGAGCTCAGGATATTGCTTATTTTATTCTAATTAATGTGTTCAATTCTGCCAGTTCATTTCAAGATCATCTTTAAGTATTTCAGGTCTCCCTGAAGTGTGTACTTATATTGATCACATTGTATAGGAGAGAATCTAAAACTGATATTCTTATTATTCTTTAACCTCAACTGTCCCAAGTCTGCTTTTTTTTTAATATCTGATTCTTATGTCAGAGGAAAGATCTGACATTTCTCCCTGTTATATCACATCTTATTAAATTCAGCCTATCTCTTTAGACTGTCAAGACCTTCTTGGGTCCTGATTCTGCCATCAAGTGTATCGACGGTTTCTTCCAGCTTTGTGTTAACAGAAAGTTCAATTTCCATCGATGACCATTATTTTCATGTCTTCAAGTCGTTAATGGAAATAATGAATAAGAAAGAGCAGATGACAGATGACTCCTGGCATTTCCCTCCTGGTTGATTTTAATACTTTAATTAGGTGCTATTCAGCCAAATAATTTTACTTCATCTGGCTCGTTTTTTCATCTTTTCTTCAGAACTGCTGTGTCACACCTGTCAGCTGCCTTGTGGACATTCAAGTAAATCATATGCCACTGTAATTCCCTCTTCTCTCCACCTAGTAATCTTTTCATAGAAAAGAATAGGCTTAGTCTGACATGAAATACTGCATGATCCATGAAATAACTAAACTGTTTATAGTAACCAGAAGTGTTTGCTTTGGCATCACTTCCGTCCTGCTACTCAGAACTGGTTAATTGGGGAAGACGTACCAGGCAAAGTGGCATTGAATGTGGGAGGATTTTGATAAACTGGATAGAGGAGGAAGAAGACGTTTGTTAAGGTCTGCTCCGCCACTCTTGTGTTTTTGTGATGAGCTTACCAGTTTAGTTCTCCTCTCTTCAAGTAGAAATTTATAAGAAGTAGCTATTTTGTCAAAGATTTAAAATGAGCTGACTTACACCTTTATTTATTGTTTTCACCTTTGAATGAATTCAGAATTAGAAGTTGGAAATTCCTTAGTAGATGATCTGCTGTCAATGTCTGAGACTTGGAAACCACTGGACTTAGCAAGAATATAAGAAAACAGAGAGGCCCAGGGGAGAGACAGGTTCACTGCTCCACACAGTATTATCCACCCATGCTCATGTTCTAGGCTCAGGGCCTCTGCTACCCATTGCTGAGGAAAGTGTCACACAAAGATCATTCAGCTTTACTTAAGGGGATACTCAGTCTCTTCCACAATATCTGGTTAATCATATTTTAGATAAGGCTCCCCCAATTTTGTTTAACTCTTATCTGGTAACACATTCAAAGTTGTTTCCTAAGATGCATTTTAAGTCTTATCTATCAAAATAATCCCGTTTCTTTCCCATTCCATCATTTTTTCATCTTCATCTTTCCGATAGGAGACAGAAATGTTCCATGAAAAGTTACTTGACTGGGGGACAGCAGAATCCTGGCTGGTAGTGTGAAGTGTGATTGAGTCTTGCTGAAACACAAGCCATCCTGTTCCTTGAACAACTTCCATTGCTTGAGGCTCCTGGCATGCCTGGCCCCCCTCTTACACTGCTGTGATCGATGCCTTGCTTTGTAATTGCAAAACATGCCACCCAAGTGGGATATGGATGATCACTGCTTTCTATTTTTCTAGAAACGATTGATCATTCATATTTATAGGGCTATCAACAGCTGGGCTTTGAAAAGTTCAGTATTGATTATCTGTTTCACACAGATGGTTTGCTTCTTTACCATACATAAATATGAGTTCCTTTTGTGAGACTGGTAGGATTTTTCAGGGAAGGAGGAGAGAAAGTGAGCATTAATGTGAGTTAGGCAGTTGGAATTTCTACTAGAACACACTTAGGGGCTGGGAATGTAGCTCAGTGGCACAGTGTCTGCCAGCAAGTATGAGTCCCTGAGTTTGATCCCTGGTACACACACACAATACATATGATGCAGTTACAGGATTTTGCCATTGGAGAGGTCATACTTTGGAAAATCCATTCCCAGTCTCCCAAAACACACACACACACACACACACACACTCTACAGATGAGAATTCTGTGTTCTCATCAGTGCACCTAGGTAGATAGAACCCCAGTGCTTGCAGAGTAGAAGGAAGAAGCCTGTGTGTCAAAATGTGAGCAGTGGTCTCATGTAGCTAAGGGACTGTGGACCGTCCGGTGGATTTTTTATTTCTCTATGCTGTCTACCTCTTAATGCTTCCTATAGAACATGTATGTTACTTTTGCACACACAAAAATAAGCCCACTGTAATGAAACCCACTGTGAATGACATGCCAACATGCTGGGGCAGCGAGGACACTGGGACTGTTCTGTTCTCCCTCTGGAAGAACAGAAGGACTGGCTGCAGTGGAGTCCTGCTCCTCCTCCCGTCTTGGTGCGCTGCTGGCTGACTGTGAACCCTCTCTGGTTGTCTCCCCATCCTCTCCTAAACACTTAGAGTTTTTGGCCACTTCAGCCTCCGCTCCGAGTGGCAGTTGGTGAAAGTAGACTACAACTCCATCTTTAGCCGGCGCTGCACCAAGGAGGACTATCAGACATGGCACCTGCTCAATCAGGTACAGCCAGGGTGGGCAGGGTGGGGCGTGCTGGCCTTGGGAGAGGTGCTGTGCACACTGGGTGTGGCCTTCGAGGGCCTTCCTGTGTGGGGGAGGGCGATAATGGGCCACCCAGGCTGCGGTGGGGGTTTCAGGGGGTGGGTTGGACACACTCAGCCCAGCAACACCTTAGAATCTTAGTTACTCACCGAGGTCGCGGAGCTGCCCTGGAGAGAGGAGATGGTGGTAAGCTGGAGATTTGGCTTCATCTGTGGGGAAGCAAATAGCAGACAGCTAGGACGCACCCTAGTGGCTCACTCATCTCCCTGCCATGTGGGGGACAAGAGAATATCACCTGATGGAGACCTTGTGGGATAAGGAGGGTGGAGCCAGGCAGTGAGCCAGCCTCCCATGGTGCACCTCCAGTGCTGTAGTAAGAGATTAACATTCTGGTTCTTGGAATGTCCTAGTTAGTGGGAATAAGATTGCTACCTAGACTGACTATGAGAGAACGAGAAGACTAATGATCCTTGTTGAGAAACTGACGCACATCCCCTCCTGTTTGCTCTTCTGCTTTCTCACTGTGGACTTTTCCTTTTAGGGAGAACCTTGTGTCATGGGAGAAAGGAAAATCTTCAAGAAACGCAAGCCAGGAGCTCAGTGTGCCCTAGGCCGGGACTACTCAGGGTCGGTGGTCTCAGAACCCTGTGTCTGCGCTGACTGGGACTTCGAGTGGTGAGTCCTTTGGTTTTTAATCACCATCTACAGCCGGATGTTCGTGTGTGTTTGTGTGTGTGTGTGTGTGTGTGTGTGTGTAGATGGAGTTAGTGAGGAAGGCCATCCCAGAGGTGGGAAGTGTGCTGGGGCGTGGCTAGTAGGACAGGTGTGAGGTCCGGGTCGCTGGAGGAAGGACAGGCTGCGGCTCCCTCACGGGGAGAAGCTCCTCTGTCTCAGAATCCTCCCCCTGAGCACTTCCTTCTCCTTGGACTCTTCCAGGGGGTGGGCTCAGAAAGCTGCTGCCCTGGAGTCACCTCCTCACACATTCACTCAAGCTGTGTTTCCATGCGAACTCTCTGTCATCGCTCTTTCATTTATATTTTAATTTTTACTTGAACATACAATATTTGTACATGTTTATGGCATTTGGCATGATAGCTTGTATACGTATACATGGTGCAATGTTCAAATTAGGGCAATTAGCATTTTGGTCTGCTCAACTACTGATCATTTCTTTGTCTTGGGAATCTTCAGACTCTCCTACTTAATTGTGTTCTGTTGTTTTGTTTTACTTTAAACCTAGGCCCTCACACGTGTTAGCAAGCCCTTTGTCCCTACACCCGAAGTTCTCGCCTGTGGAGATTTAAATCTTACCTTAACCAGTCACTCACTGGCACATTCCGGGTGTTTCCCTCCAGTCATGCCTCTTCTCGCCTTAGACAGAGATATATGTCTGTGTTCTGACTTGCCATAGATCTCTGGATTTGCTGACAGGGGTCAAACTTACTGTGGCCAAAGAAGAGCTCTTCTCGAATCCCTCAGTGGAAGAAGTTCTGGGCAGCTTTTCCAGCCTCAGTAACACACCCAGCTATCCACTGGGTGGCTGAATAGAAAGCCCAGCAGGACTTGCTTACTCTTTCTTACCCCAGAAGGATACCATCAGTGACTCTGCAGTCTCTCCTTCCAGAACCCCTCTGTGTCAAAGCCTTTGGGCCCATCTACACAGCGTAAGGACTGCTCGAAGTCTGCTGGCCATCTGCACTTCTACCCTTTTATTGGTGCATGTTTACAGTATGTAGTGTCTACATCCATCTGAGGGAGTAGATGTGTGCACTTAACCTGCCTTAATTATTATATTACCTTCTCCTTCCCCTCCCCCTCCCTCCATCTCTAGATCCACTTCCATTTGCAAGGAATCTGTCTCCCTATTTTCTATTGTCTATCTTTTATTTTTTAAATTATTTATACTTTGGGTTTCTCATAGAAGAGTAGTTATGCAATATTTAAACTTGTGTGCCTGATTTATTTTACTTAATATGCTGGTCTCAAACTGCATCCATTTTCCTACAAATGACTCAGACTTATCCTTCTCTATGGCAGAGTAGTACTCCATTGTGTATAAGTACCACATTTTTTATCCATTCACATGTAGGACGTGTCCAAGATTTAGCCATTATTGTGTTGCTGCAAACACGGGTGTCCACGCATCACTGAGATTTGTTGTCTTTTATCTCTCTGAGCCGTAGTAGACCTTCACCCATTGCTGAGAGGCCACACAAATAAGGAACAAGACTGTAACAGATGTGTTTTTCCTTCAGCAATTCCATTAGCATTTACTGGTTTGAATAAAAGCCCCAGTGCAAATATTCAGATGTTGATCTTGGGATTTTATTCTTCATCTCTGTGACTTCAGCTCCTTAGCCACAAAATAAAAATATATATAACGTGTATCTCATTAGGTTCTAGGGAGAAGTAAATGAGTAAATAAGAGAATGGATGTACACCATTGTTATAGAGGAGCCATTAGTCAGTAGTCATACAACATACAGGGACTGTTGCTGATGTGCTATGTGAAACTTGTACTCCAGGCTTATTAAGTGGTCCCTGTCATAGTCTTAGCAGATAAGCCAGAGCTTACTCATTCCATTAAGCACTGTCTTCCAAGTAGTACCTGTGAGTACAATCCATTTGTTTTAATGTTGGTGGCATTGCTTGAGGTGTTCCTGAGCCCTTCTTTGGGGGTGGCTGTCAGAATCCATCTGTAAGTAGAGCAGGGGGTGGGGGAAGGACTCCCTTGGGAGGCATCCTGTGGGTCTCACATTAGCATTGGTAGACATGTCACCCAGGTCCAAGGTCTGCTCTCTCAGCTTCTTTCCTGTTGCCAAATGAAGGAGAAGGGAATGAGAATCTTCTCCATAAGTTACTTGACCAAGGTTACACAGGAAAGCGGAAGAGCTGGCATTCAAACTCGGGGCTTGGTAAATCCCCCAGTCTGTCACCTATGACATCATTTCTCAAGAAATCAAGCAAGTCTTATTAGTTTAGATTTTCTTTGTGTTCAGAAGAAATAGGGTCTCCATGCGCAGTTACTCTAAAATTAAAGCTCACCTCCAAGTGACCTATGTTTATTGCTGTTGATGAACTTTAGTATAGAATGTTTCATTAACTGCAAAACAATTTCCAGGGAAGTAGTCTGGACGGACCTTTGGTGCTGCAACTGTAATAGACACATGGTCTCCTAGAAGACTTTATAGATTTTCTTTTCTATGTGAGTGATGGTAGGTTTACATTTCTGTGCTCAATCACACCTTGCGTTAGAAAGGAGTTGGAGGGTTACTTTCGTCTGAGACGGTCCACAGGCACACAAGGTTGGATGCTATAGAGTGCTCTTAACTGCAGAGCAGCAGCAAGAAAATCATAGGGCCTAGAGTGCATTTCTTTCACCATTCCTGAGCATAAAAGAAGCAGTTTTTGATTTCTGAATTTTCTGTATTATTTACAATGGTGTGGAGGGGGGAAATGGGGATGAATATTTGAAATTGTCTTTATTGTTTTGAAGTCCACTTCAGTCACCATCACTGCTGGTTTAAAATTATAATTTTTCATCAAATATTATTTGTCTCTTGGTCTTTAACACTTATGCAAGAGATCAGTGTGGCAAGAGTTCCTGGCCTTCTCCCTTCCTGAGTGATCTCCCTATCAGGAAGTACTATTAGCCCAGGAACCTGAGGTGCTCAGCTCAGTGAGCCCAAGCGATTATCTGTACACTCCATTCATTTGTTTCCCTAAGCCAAATCAGGGTGCACTCATTTGACTGTCTCATGCCAAGTTTAAGTCTCAGAGGCAGCAGGGAGTAACCTAGTTTAGGGGGGTTGAAGGCTGGGGAAAGTGGATTAAGTGCCTTCACTTGGGTAGAGGCATTGAGAAACACAGAGGGAGGGTAATTTTTACCTATGTCCCGTCTGTGTTTAGAGAGGAGGTGTATCGATTCTCAGAAGCATTTATCTGTAGCAGGTCACTAGTTTCCACAACATTCACAAGAGAGTATCAGTCATAGTGGTGAACATTGCATAATTGCTGATGCTTCAACTTAAGTGCCTCCTATCCCCCCAGCCTCAAGCTTACACCAGAGAGATACTTTGCAGCTACCTCCGTGGTACTAGTGAGGAGCCAGGAGCAAATTCTCCTTGAGAATTGAGATCGTCAGAGCCTTGTGGGTAGTCAGAAAAGGAAGCAAAAGGGCTTTCTCTGAAGTCCCACAGGGGCTCCTGTGGAGTAGGACATTTGATCGGCGAGAAACCAGTGTGGGCTGTCTTTTTTTCATCGTTCGCCTAGTGGCTTGCTCACCAAGCATTAACTCTGCTGAGCGCCTGTCAGGCATTGTACCAAGTCTCAGGCATCTGTTCTCCTACTTACCTGCCTCGACCAACTCCTGAGAGGAGAGTTGCTGTTACATGTATTGTATAGGTAGAGTTGGAGACATAGGTTAATTTACCCCGATGATAGCTTTCTGACTCTGGAATGTGACTCTGAGTGGCTACTCTCAATCCCCAGTGTGGCACTGATCTTCACAGCAAAGTCAGAAAGTGGTGACACAGATAGAAGACAGAGGGAGAGAGACTTGGGGATGCCACAGCACATAAATTCGGATGTGTCTAAAATCCACTCAGGCTTTAGTACTGTGCATGTGGAACACAAGCGAGCATGTCGCCTGTATAGTGGTCACCCCAAAGTATAAACAAGATAATAAACAATGTCTAAAGAGTTTATTAACAAGAGTTACTGCACTAAAAGAAGGCCTAACCGAGAGTAATAAAAATATAATTAAGTTCTGAATTTTATGGGCCAAAACTACACTGTCCATTATAATGGTAGTAGCCACTAGTCATGTGACTATTGGCATAAAGTGAAATGAAATTTAAAAATCAATTCCTTAGATATGCTGGTTAGTGGCTACCATGTTGGACAGGATACATATAAAACATTTCTGTTATTATAGCAAGTTCTACTGGGAATAAAGATCACCGAGGGCGGATGTTAGCATAGAAGGCTGCCTAGGAGGTGGTGGAGGGTCATACAGACTTACTGGAGAGGCGTTAAGGAAAAAGGAGACCTTCACAGAAATGGACACAGGACTGTCATAAAGACCGCAGGCACATGAGAAAGCTTTGGGTGAGTTAAAGGGATGAGGCAAATACACAGAATAAGGTTGGACTAGGAGAAATATTTCAGGGATGATTATTGGGTTTTCCGAACAGTTTCAGAAATGGCTCGGATACAGATGTCTTTTTATATGGCTGTACGCAGGCCTACACTTGAGCTGGATGACGGTGACATTGATTATCAATCCACTGCTGGTGTGGGTGTTGTGGCTGCTTCTGTGTTTTGAGCGCTCACTCTGTGACCAATTCAAATTTACCAGTTATATGAGGTCCTAACCGGAGCCAGAGGCCCGTGTGGAGCACCAGCCCTGGCCTCTCAGCTACCCCGTGGGTGGCTGGGGGAAGCAGAGGTCCGGCAGCGGCCCTGGAGCTATGCCTGATCTCTGACTCGGGCAGCCCCGGCAGCTGGTTCAGAAGAGACCGTGACTTTGTGGTTAGACTCCACGGGTCTTACAGTGTCATTCATGGGGACCACGGACCCTCCCTGATGGTAAATGGGTGCCCCAGGGTGTTGTACTAATGCTGAACAGAGAGCAGTGGTCCTGATATTTACTTCCGTCTGCCACCATCAGCGATGTCCACCCTGTGCCAAGTTATTTGCTCTTTTGGCTTTTCCTTTCCGGTCCACAACCACAGGGACTGGAGCAAAGGCGTGCAAGCATCCCTTCCTATTCGGACATGCAGGGACTTTGGATCTCGGAACTGCCCTGGCTGTTCCTCCTTGAGAATCTAAGGTCTTTCCTCGGATGGATGGATGGGTTTTACAAGATGTACATGTTCCTGATACTGAACAAAATTTCCCCCAAACTTTCAGAAATTCTAAATGTTTTACCATCAAGGAACACAGGGAAATGACTTATTTCTTGAGGAAAAGTGCTCCTGCGCTTCAGCATGGGTGGCGCTCACGTCCCAAGGCCAAGCAGCCTTTCTGCCTCATTGTGTCCAAGGCGCTCAGCAGAGCACCTTTCCACAGGGCCTGGAACGGCCGCCAGAGCCCCTTGTTTGTGTAAATCATATCGACTCCTGAGCTGGGAAGGAGGTTGGACAGTGTGAGCAGTTTTAATACACACTTAGCAGAAATTAATGAAGAAGTCCAAGGCTCTGGGGCAGCCAGTTTCCATTAAAGTTGTTAAATATTAATGAGGTGCTTTTGCTCTTTGGGGCGAATCAGCCTGCCTGATGCACCCTTTTTAAATTACTGCATCACTAACGGGTAGCAGAGCTGATCAGAACTGCTGAGCACAGTTACATTTCCCAAACAGCACTGAAACATTTCTCCACTTCCCAGAGCTGCTTAGAAGAGCATCCTTCCTTCATGGAGTACTCATATTTCCTGGGGTCAGCAGGACATTCAACAGGCTCGCTTCGTAAAGAGATCAGAGTGTGCTCCTGAAGAACTGCAGAGACCTCACAGCTCAATGTTCCCATGGACAAAAACAGCGGTATATTCCGTGGTGTGCAGGTACATATTTAACTGCTGGCTGTCTTGGAACACATAAATACTGCTCGTTGTACATATTCCTACCATGGCAGGTTCAAGCTACCTGTATGACACCAGCAAATGCAGAAAGAGGAGAGACAGGAAGCAGCCCCACACTATACAGTCAGTATTCCTGCCATACAGACACATAGGTGTAAATGACTGCAAGAACACAAATAATATGCTAATGTATTATTTTAGGGGTAGTATAGTATATATGGTAATAATGAAATACAACAGAGCAATTAGGAAATTTCATTTTGAGTATTCATAAATGTATAAATCTAATAGAAATCTTATGTAATTCAGTTTTAACAATGGCTTTAATTACCATTAATTAGCCTGCAAAGTTTGTGAAATTTTAGCATTCAGAGCTCATGGGCTCTTGCAAGCTGGCAAACACTAAGTCCATGTCTGGCTGGGAGATCTCAGTAGTTGACTAGGAGGTTTGACAAACATTTTACTTGGCAGAAATGTTTCTTTCTCCTTCCTTTCTTCCCTTTTCATTAAAACATGGCTGATCTTGAGTTCTACCTTTCTGTGTGTGGATCTCAACTCCTCTCTCACTTCCTCTGGTTCTCTCTTGAGCACTGTGTGTGCTCACGGAGCATCAGTACGGACTCACAGCCCTCCTGCAGAAACAGACACAACACAATGGGATAATTAGTAAGACTGGTTTTAATGCAAGCAGAGTACCCATTCACTCAGTGACTTTCTAGTCCACACCTGCAGTGTCTTAGGTGTAACCTGACAGTGCTGAAAAATGGGGACAAACATCTCTGCTCTTCTGTAGTTTGCATTTACCTTTCCAACACATTATGAGTCCAAAGATTTTGTCTAAGGAATTAAGGATGGCTTCACGCAACCTAGATATTAAAGAAGAATGAGTAAGAAATGACTAAACACAAGAGAGCCCCAGGGATTTCATATAAATATATAAAGAGAGCTGGAAGGCCTGGTCAGGCATGTTCAGCTATGGGTTTGGTGGAGGAACGTGGGGTGGGATCAGACTGGGCAGAGAATATCCAGGGTCTCGTTGCTCAGTTGGCCCTTCTGAACTAGACAAGTTAGTGCTGCGCTTCCTCCTGCAGTGTGCTGTTCTCCAGCTAGGTGTGGGGTGTGCTGTGTCTCTCGTTGCCAAGCCTGTGTTTCTGCTGGATTCCACGAAATATTGGCTCAGAGAATATGGGAGCAGAAAAAGAGAGAGGGGCTGGATGCAAAAAGTGACTCCCGAAGCTGTTCCACGTTTCCTTAACACCCGGTGGGGCAGTACGCAGATGTTCAGATTGTGTGGCCCAGTGTGTGGGTTTCAGGAAAGCCTGGATGCTGAACACAGAGGCATGAACTGAATTCTCCTGCAGGAGACGGCACCCTCAGTGACCTCTGGCTGGGTATGGCAACAGTAATCCATGTCACCCACTGGCACTTTGACAAATGCAACACCTGGGGACCCTCCAGGAACTCCACAAAGCATGGGAATCCCCTTTGGCCTTCAGATGGGGGTTTCTATTCCTGCCCTAGTCTGTTACTCATTTTGCATATGGGAGAAAAAGGGAGCACACCTCACTTTCTTCATTCTATCATAGCTGACGTTTTAGAGACACATGGAAAAGCACTATACTTTCATCTTTAGGGAAATGTGGTTCTTGTGTTATCTAATCAATAAAAGTCTGAATGACTGTTTGTATTTAAATGCACATGTGTATCTGTATTTGCTGGAGGATAGGTTTTCAGGAAAGAGTGAAAATAAAGCATATGAAACACATTTTTGAAGAATGCATATGAAGTCATAATATAGAAATGTATCTTGACCTTTATAGTCATCTCCTTGGTTGTTGCCTATTTACTTCATTATTCTACTGTGACCAGAAATATGCTTTTATGATTACACCAGCCCTCCAGGGCCAACTCAAACCAGGGTGCCTGTAATATTATTTAAATACTCACTTTTCTAACCTAGAATTTCGATTTGATAATCCACTCCTTTTTCCCTAGAATGGACTTCAAATAGCTTGGGACTACTTATAAATCTGATAATTCATTTCCAAAGTATGAACATTTGTCCTCCCCGGGGTCAGTTGAAAGTGTGCTGCGGCTTTTGGATAGCACTGGGACTTGCATAGGCCCGTGCGTGCGTGTGTGTGTGGTGGGGGTACATTAGCCTTTGCACACACTTACCATTCTGCAACACTTCTTTTCCCAACAGTGACTATGGCTATGAGAGACACGGAGAGAGCCAGTGTGTCCCCGCTTTCTGGTATAACCCAGCGTCCCCCTCAAAGGACTGCAGTCTTGGGCAAAGTTACCTTAACAGCACCGGGTAAGTACCACGTGAAGGAACTTAACTCATTGTTTCCCCCCTCCCTTGCATTAGAATCAAAGGAAATACATTGCTCTTCCAGAAGGTGGACTGTGAATGGAGTTTGTTTGTGACAAGTAGCTTTGGAGGAAAGCTGAGGGGTTTAGCTTGAGAGTACATTTTCTGGAAAGCATCAGAAGAAATTTCTGATTGCCCAGATTTCAGTGCATTTTGCCATTTGCCTCCAGCAGACGCTACTGTTTGGTAAAACTTCTCTCCTGAAAAGGGATGTTGCCTTTATTCCTTGGGCCTCAGGTGAAGTAAACTGGTGGAAGATGAATGTAAATTCTCAAACACTCATGATCAAGACTTGTAATGAAAATTCAGAAGTCTGATCCTGAGGAACTTCTGGAACAAAAAGGTCAAGGCCTATTTTCAGTAATTCTCCAGTTGTACATCTCTTCCTCTCTTTGTGTGCTTATTAGTTGCTCTCAGATACTCAAACTTTCCTTAGAGGTGTGCTGTGTAGTCTTCCTTTGATGCCTCTGAGACCCAGAAGACATCTGTCGAATGGATGGGTGGACAAAGCCAGCACTTCTGGAATTCTAATGTGCTCACATGTCATCTGAGGATCTTATTAGAATGCAGCTGCAGATTGGGGAGATCTGGGTGAAGTTAAGATTCATTTTTAATCTTCTGAATGATGATGATCTTGTCTGTCTCTAGACCACTCTGTGGGTGTCATGGGACTAAGATGTTCTGGACTTCTGTCTCACCTCTTCCATTGGATCTTCCATTACCCTAGCCAAGCTAATCACCTTCCTTTCCTTTTATTTTATCTGGGTGTAAGATAGTGGTATATCCCACCTGATATTTACAGCGGAAAAATAAGTATGATGAAAAAAAGCATATTAAGTGTTCTGAGATACTCTGAAAGACATAATATTTTTAGTCAAATATCTGATTCTAGGAGCGCTACTCCTGGAGTCTGGACTAAAGTTTTAGGCCCTTTCATATTGTGTTGTTGGTTTAGAAATGTAAGCCAGTCAAACAGTAAATCCAGCAGCTTGAACTTAAGGAGATAGGACGTTACAGGAAAAGGTGCTAAAAATTTTGAGAAAGAGGGATATAATGGTCACAAGGGATCACCTGGACCACTCAATTCCTAATCCTTGCATCCCTTGGATGTCATTGGAAAAGAATTGCATTAGGATATCTCCCATAATCATGCAGAATGCATAAGGGGACCCAATGTTAAGCAATTTAGGTATACCAGACCACCAAGTAGCTAGCCAAATAAATCAAGAAGGTGAAAAGCAAAGTCAATTCACATTTTTTCCAAAGAATTCACTATAGAATTCTACAAATACTTCCAGGTTTCTGAAGTGTCGGCTTACATTAGAGATCCTCAGCCTGCTTGAGTTTATAATCAATTGAAGTTAAAGAGAAAGAATAGGTATTAGGTTTGCATTAGGACATGGTACTCACCAAAATAATCTATCATCAGTAAAAAATATCTTGTAAGAAATATGAGCAAGAAAGTGTAAGCTGGTTAGAGAAATGTGATCATCTCAACCAGTGATGAACAAAAGAAATATATTGTGGGGAACACATATAATTTTACAATTTCTAATGATCATATTTTAAAAGTTTTAAAAGTTGAGCTTAATTTGAATAATTTATTTAACCAGATACAGCAAAGAGATTATCATTGTAACATACCACATTAACCACATTTCAGGTGCTAAAGACCCCTGTGTGGAAATCACCTACCATCAACATGAGCTCAGTGAACAGTTACCATGTGGGCCAGGAACTGCCTCCAAGATTCTCTGCAAGAAGGAAGGTTTAGTGTAGGTAGTTCAGCAATGGGAGACACCGGGAGGAATGTCAGGTGTAATGAAGGACCAATACCATCCAGAAGATATGGGGTTTCTCTGGTTTTGAGCCTACCAGCAGAGGCCAGCATGGATGACTGGTTAGATATTCCTGACATACAGAATGAATGGAGACAAGCTAGGTATGGTGGTAAGGCGATGGAGGTGGTGATGGTGATTTTGTCAGATTTTATAAAATGTTAATTTTAGTAAAGGTTTGCAGTTTATGATGCATGTAGAAATCATGTCTGAATATAAGTCAGATCTGTACACCAACAGAGCAAGTGACATGTCATCAGTGTAGACATGATACCTGTCGTGGTCATGGAGGGTGATACGGCTTTGTAGGGATGTTTTTCCAAGCCAAGCTCCTTGGCAAGGTGATTTTACTTCGAAATGGAGTTTCAAACCTTTGCTTCTAAGCTGGCACTTGTGTTGGGTAAGACACGAAGTATTAGCAAAGAGAAAAATGTGCTGCAGAATAGCCCAGCAGCTCTGGAATAAGGGCTATTAGGTATTAAGGGAAAAATGACATCCTGGGCACGGAGAGAAGACAGGAAGAGCCCCCCGATTAATTAAAGTTCGACACCCAGTGTTCTAGTGCTTTCTGGTACAGAGCAAGCTGACGGAGGCCTTGGGGAAATGAAAGAGGCCCCGCCCTGCCAGGGAACTGTACCTGCTTTTCCTTCTCCCCCCAGCCAGTGGTCTGCCGCTTATTCTGTTGGGTGTGACCCAGATATTGATTTTTCTTGGCTAGTTTAGACACTGATCCGATCCATGGCTCACCAGGTAGGATCAATAATAATGTTTTAGGAGCTACTTTTCCCGAGATGAGATGGAGGGATAGCAATTCCTCAGCATTTGTTTTGAGACTTGGATTTTAGGAGCAGCTGCAAGAAACATCTCTCTTGCTTTGCTTTCATGCACTTTCTAAAACACACACACACACACACACACACACACACACCGCGCAGAAACCCCGCTAATCTGAACTGTCACTTCTCTCAGGTACCGGAGAATTGTGTCCAACAACTGCACAGATGGACTGAGAGACAAGTATTCTGCCAAGGCCCAGCTGTGTCCCGGAAAAGCCCCTCGGGGCCTCCACGTGGTGACAAACGATGGGCGCCTGGTGGCCGAGCAGGGGCACAATGCCACCTTCATCATCCTCATGGAGGAGGTAGGTACCCACCTGGGCCTCCGGAGCCATTCCCCATCCTTGGACGGAGGAGGCAAAGACCATCCACCCCACGCCCACACCGCTGCCCCAGCGTCAGCAGCGAGCGTGAGGACTGGCGGGCAGAAGACTGGCAGGGCGAGAGAAGGCTCGGTGTGTACACACTCTCCTCCCGTCACCCTAAGAAGGCCCGGTCCGCGGCGGGGTCCACTTGCTCTGGGGCATGCGGATATGGATGTATGATTCCGGGCCGCCCTTTACGGTCTGTTTAGGGAATGTTCGTCACCGTGAGACCGTAAACTGTAAACTGCTTAGAATCTCCTTTTCCTCTTCTAACCCTAAGTCCCACTGATTAGAAAGCCCCACAAAGCTTTTAAAGGCTATTGAAAGTGTGAGTTTGAGGGTGGGGGAAGATTATTGAAATGCTCCACCTTTATCTTCGTAAAGAATGTTATATTACTTGCTTTTACATCAGCTTCCTGCTCCATTAGTTCACTTTATGGTGTCCTTTGCAATCTGGGCAGTAAAATCAGACTGTAGGCGTTAATTCCAGGATGGAAGTTCCTCTGCCACCCGTTTCTTGCTCCCTAGCTGAGCTGCTCCACTTCTTCCCAAGAGAGGGACTCTTTGGGCACTCCTGAGGTGGTGAAGCCAGAAGGCTTGCCTGACTGACAAGGCCTGCTGAATTTATATGCAAATTGCTCTGTGCTCCTGATCTCGGGAAGAGAGCAGAGTAGGCCAGAGGGCTTCTCTCACAGATGTGAGCACTTTAGGTTTTAAAGTCAAGACCTGGCAGACAGGACGGTGAAGGTCCTTTATTCCAGGTGACAGAGGCCTCAGCCTTCACCCACACCAGGTGCTTGAATTCAGGCACTTAAGAGTCAGAGGAGGTCATTATCACATTCCCACCAGGGATTTTCAAAAACCTTCCCTTGAATGGATCTGAAGAACCGTGATCTTATCCATTTGAATTGCCTTGAGTTCATTTCCACTTTAATTTATATTTATAAACTTGAGGGTGGCTGATATTGTATGGGGGTCAAAAGAGCAACTATCAATAGTTCACTCACATCCAGGTTGCCATGGGGGAAGAGATGCAAAGAAAAACTGTGACCAATGCATAATTACAGGGCAGAAAGTTTGGCTTCTAATTCTAGAGCAATGTATTTCTCTTTTTATTCCATCGTCCATCTTTGTACATGAGCAGAAATATCCAATTTTCCTCACTCAGGATCTTTGTTTTGTTGTTAGGTTCATTGCAATGATCTAAAGTGTTGATCCAGTACATTTGGGGTACAGAAGGATGGGGCTCAGCATCCGTCCTTAGGAAGCTCTGTCTGCGGGGGGTGGTAGGAGGGACTCAGCTGATGATGGACCAGGCGGCAAGTGGGGCCATGTGTGATCTGGGACAGTCAAAGAGGCTCCAGTAAAGAAGGGAATGGGTCAGTTCCGAGAAGTCCAAGAAGAAGAGAATGGAGGTACAAATTTATAGAGTATGACATTTTCATCTATAGAGCCGGAATCATTATCTACTGTATATTGTTATTATTATTTTTGAGATGACATTATACGTATGTATTAGGTGATGACTTAGTCTAGTGAGTACTGGAAGATAAGAATGATTATAAGGCTAGCATGGGGTTAAGAGCAGGACTACTGGAACTAGACTGTCTCTCTTTATGAGTCGGGTTTTCCACCAGTGGCCATGACTCTGGTATAATGAATGTGTTTTTATCTCCACCTATGAATTGTAAATGCTTTCTACAACATGGAATTGTGAGAAGATTAATTGCTTGGGATTGATAAGAAACTCTGTATTTGTTAGCTGTGGCTATTATTGTTGTTATTTCTAGTATATAGAAGAAGGAGGAGAAGAAGATTCAAGCCATGCGTGTGAAGATGCCAGGGCAACCCTTGGATTCATACTTCAGTGCTCGCCTACTAATGCCCATGTCTTAGAGACTCAGGCTGCTCTGAGCTTGGTCATACAGTGTCAGCCTGAGGGAAACCATGCTGATCATGCTAGGGTGTTTCTGCTCTCTGGGACTGGCTCTGGGTCCATATAGGGTGATGCTAAAGCCCAGAAGAAAGCATCAGCTAGAAGTCAGGTAGGACCATGTGAATGGACCTGGCCAACTGCTCTTTCATCTTGCAGGGTGACCTTCAGAGGACAAATATCCAGCTTGACTTTGGAGATGGGATTGCTGTGTCCTATGCTAACTTCAGCTCCATCGAGGATGGCATCAAGCATGTGTATAAGAGTGCAGGGATCTTCCAGGTGACAGCCTATGCGGAGAACAACCTTGGCTCAGATTCCGCTGTCCTTTTCCTGCATGTGGTTTGTAAGTAGTGGGAGCCAGCACCCTTCTCTCTTCCTTCCAGTCGTCAAAGCCCTCTGTCTGGACTTTCTGGAATTTGGAGCTGAGATCAAGTTCACTCCAGCTACTACAGTGACTCAAATCAAAATATTGCTCTTCTGTGATTTAGTTTCGGAATACTGTAGTAGATCAGTTATTCTGAAAGTTTAGGTGAGGTATCATCAACAGGCCCTCCCTTTCAGTACCACTCTACACGTGCAGACACACATTCAGGGAACATACCCTTCTCTTTGCTTTGGAGAACTCTGAAAATATAAGTAGAAACCCATCTGATCCATGGTTCCATGTTCATTTTCAAGCTATTCTGAGTGAAGGCAGCACAAATCAAACTAAACTGTTACTTCTGTTGGAAGAGCCAAACAAGGATTTCAAAAACACATACTTAGATTTTTTTTTTAAAAAAAGAAGAACTAAATACTTAAAACAAAAACTTAATTCCTACATCCACGGTTACTTCAAGTTCATTATGTTATAAACAATTCTAAGAACTCTCCAAATTTGTTTGAGTCTGTTTCATTGCTCTGGGCTCTTTCTTGGCAGAAAACAAAACAACAGCTGAAGTTCTAGAATATTTTGTTTTGAATGTGTTTTGTATATTAGCTGTCCTGGGATTTGACTCAGATAAACTGAGATGTAAACACTGTGGCTTCAGAATGGTGAGTCAATGCAATGTGAGGCTACCTGGGTTTCATACACCTTTCTCAGTGACAGCCCTGGTCTCAGAATTTCTCTGGTTCTTACCAGTCCACTCATGTCCATGGGGAACTGTTCCAGGAACCCCAGCACAGGCCTGCAACTGCAGATGGACTGCAGATGGTACCAAGTGTTTTCCTATAGTAATGGGGGGGTAGCATATACCTCATGGATACCCTGGACAAACGGATGATTCATGACCCAGGCAGGATATCACATCACTCACAAAAATCAAGTCATTTAAAACTTCTGATTGTTTATTTGTTGGATTTTTCCATTTCACAGTTTCTGACTGTGGTTGGCTATGGATAACCGAAACTTCAGATGAGTAGGGACCAGTATGTTCCACAATGGTTTTCTCACTTTGCCATATATACCGGCATTTAAATGTTATGAAAGAATTTAAATGAACAGACAGAGCTCCTTCTTGTTAACAATTTAGTGATGGTAGAGATTCCTCCGTAACCCATGCCTCAGGGGTCCCTGGCAAACAGTAAGCTACAAGCCCCCTAGTACAGAGAGCAACATTGATAGTAGATGTGTTTGAGAGGAGACCTAGATTACCGATCAGATCAATCATGTCCCCAATAATCCCAGTCTATGTGACCTTGAGATAAATTACTTCTTTTTTGAGTTTTCTACACTCCAGTTTTAAAATGGCTTGATTGCCTTGCAGGGCTCTTGTAACAATAAAAAGGAAATACAAATAAAACACCCCCAAATTCTGGATTCCTTCAGCAAGTATTTGTTGACTTCCTAATATGTGCAGAGCACTCCTCCAGGAAGTCAGAGATAACAATGCAGACATGGTCCTGCCCCTGCAGTTTATATTCTGCTGGGGAAGGGCAGGTACTGAAAAAAATGGGCCAAGAATAGGGAAAAAGGTGATGGCCTCCCCACACTGACACTGATCATTCTGTGCTGAAAGCCGCGGGCCAGATGTCCAGGTGGGTGATGTGCAGGATGTTCATAAGCCCAGGCTTTAGAGCAACAGAAAGCTGCGTTTGAACTCTGATCACATCCGTTTGTTAAATGCCTGACATCGGTCAACTTTCTTTGCCTTTGTAAACCTCTAGTTCTCATCTCTAATAATTAGCTTGTAAGGAGGCTGTGGGAATTCAATTAGATAATGTATGTGCTAAGGGGGCCCCAAGACCACCCCCAGGTTTCGTGAGTCACTAAGATGACTCAGAACTCAGCTCGCAGCTTCATTCTTGGCTAAGCTTTATTCCAGGGGAATGGAAAGCAAAATCAGCTGAGAGCAAAGGCTCAGGAAGCAGAGCCCAGAGAAAACTAGGCACAAGCTTCCCCTAGCCCTTTGCCTCTGGAGTCACATGAAACAAGCCAGTTCCCCTAGCAGTGAGTGGCGCTGACAGTAGGGCTGGCCATCAGAGAAACTCACCAGCGACTCAGCACCCTTACTTTTTATCAGGGCTACCCTCATAAGCACCTCTCCCTGGCATATACCAAAACTCTGAAGTCCTCATGGAAGATAGGTGTTCAGAACAAATCATACTATTTACAAAAACAGTGTAGGCAAAACGAGCCACTCTTACCAGTTAACTGTTGATTGGAACCACTCCAAGAGCCAAATTCCAGACACCAGCCAAGCCCGGCCCTGTGTACAGCCCTGCGTACAGGACAGCCGTTTCAGGCTTAGGTAACATTTTCTTTTCTACGCAGTGTGCACAATACAATGACACCCAGCTTGAACACGATGAATGTTACCTGTTATTAATGTAATTACCAGCACTTCCCATGAACTCTCTGCCTGCCACTTCTGCTGCATTTAACAATGAAGACAGAAGGAGAGAGAAATTCACACTCCTCCTTTCAGGAGACTTGTCCCACCCTTGTTCCTGATTCTGCCACCAGTGGGTCCTGCTTCCAAGCGCGAAGACCAACACACAACTTAGCGCAAACACAGCATCAAGGCACAGGTTTACGCTGGGGGTTATGTACTCAGAGGAGGAAATGTTCCCTGAACCTTTAAACGTGCTCATAATTCCCTCCAAATCAATCATGGCTACATTTACCAGACAGTTATTATAGGGGACACTGCTCTATGCCTAACCTTGGGCCATTAGCTAACAAAAGTAGTTGTTAGCCACCCATATTAACCAGTCTCACACAGATTATTAGATTTTTATCTAAAGGGGGACGATTTGACAGCAAGATTTTAGGAGTTTGCTATATTCCCTGCTAAAGCCCTTCAGCTCTCTTCTGCTCATCCCTGCTCTGCCTCCACATGGTAGCCTGAAGCTTTGGCTTAGGATCTTTGCCCTAAAAAGCTGCTGCATGATCTTGTTTCTCAAGATTAAATTTAGCCAAACATGCTTGACCTGAAGCCAGAATAAGTGTGAGTATGTTCGGTGGCGTTCTGATTTGTAAAGCTCCGTCCCATTCACTTCCGATGTAAACTGGGCACCCGCATCCCTTAGGACGTCAGCCCTGCCTGAGCCAGGGTCCTCAGAGTGGCAGAGACCCGAGAAGAGAAGAATTTCCAAGGACACAGCCAGAGAACGGCTTTGCTGTTGTGAGATGTGAGAGATGTGAGAAAGCCCAGGTTCCAGGAGGTGTCCTGGGGAGGAGGTCTCATCCCTTTGGGAAAGCACAGTGGGAATAGGAGCAGTGATTTCAAGCGCACTCGGAGCCTTTTTCTCAGTAGGGAGGAATGAGAAATCTGATGCTGTGTGAAGAAAAATTCTGCAGTGCTCATGTGGGAAAGCTGGCTTTTCGTCTCACATTCTGGGCAGGAGTTAGCCGGGCCCCTACCTCTTCTGTTTCCTCTTCCTCATTGATACACAGGACACAAATAACAAGGAGAGATTTCATCAGGTAGACTCCGAAAATTGAGTAAATAAAGCAACAGATGTAGCCAATATTTTATCACACTTTGTGTTCTTCTACTGACATCAAACAAACTACACAAAAACTAATACAGATTTGCTCATTTAATATAATTAGACCTTCAGCCAAATGTGTATATGTGGTGACAAGGTTCAAATTATTTGCTGGGAAAAAAATCCTGAGGTGCCATATGTCTGGAGTCAGAGCAGAGAGCTGCAGGCAGAAAGCATAGATTCTTTTTCTTCATTAATTTTTTAACTGACAAAAAGTGTAGATGTTTATTATGTACAACAAGTTACCAGGAAACATATGTGCATGTGAAGTGGTTCAATCAGGCTCATTGCCATGTACATCCCCTCATACTTATTTTTTGTGGTGAGAACACTGAACAGTATTTTCTTAGTGATTGGCAAACTGCAGTATAATGGCATTCAGCAGTTACCAATGTACAGTGAATACCTCGAATGCACTGCACCTCTCTCACTGCAGTTTTACACCCTTTGACTGACAGCTACCCCATCCCAGCCCTGGCATCCAGCATCCTCCATTCTACTCTTTGCTTCTCTGGGCTCAACTGGTTTGGATTTCACATGTGAATGAGAACATGAGGTGTTTGTCCTTCCATGCCTGGCTTATTTCACTTAACGTGACATTCTGCAGGTTTATCCATGTTGTTGGATATCAGAGTTGAAAAAATAACACAGCAAACCCCCAAGTACAACATTGGTACATTCATTATGCTTCATCAGTATTTTCCTCTTCTCATTTTATTCTGGAAATGAATGAAATCAGCAGCCTCACTTGTTATACCCAGGGTGTGTCCGCCCACAAACTAGGAAGTAAAAGACTTGCTGGTGTAGAGCTCAGTGATATTTACCCCAGTTTTCTACAGGAAAAAAAAAAATGAGAGAAGCAGCATTTTTATTATTTCGGAACTGGCATTTATTTCCTGTTCCATCTAGGGAGATGTGCATTTCCTTCTTTGTAAAAAAAAAAAAAAAGAAGGGGGGCTTGTCTGCTTCTGAATGACACCCCCTGTGTCCCGCAGATGGCGAGGCACCAATGTACAGAAAGGATGGAGACCACTTAACCACTGAGGGTGATGGAATAGCCCCCCTTACAGTGCAGTGACCCCGAATCACAGCACAGGCTAGGCTCAGAAAGAGAACACTGCTATTTATCTTCTGGTAAACTAGCTTTCCCTTGGACTGGAGATGGCTCACAGTTCCTGGTGATTGGGCTTCACCGGATGTAAATGAAGTTGGTACCACTCTTGGAATCCGAAAGTGGATTTGGGTTCCCTGTTGTAACACGGAAGCAGATGCTTCATTTCAAGTGCACGCATTCTTCCCAACATTTGCAGTTTTGATCATTGTTTTATCACAGGGCATGATAATAAAGAATAAGATTAAGAATCTAGGAGTGTGATAAAGTTTGATGGTCTAACTGGATAAAGAAGATATGGGTTTTTTATAAAATGGAGCACCACTCAGCCATAAAGAATGAGAAACTAGAGACTTTTATAGCCAAGTGGATGCATATCAAGGCCTTCCCCTTAAGTGAAATAAATAGGACACACCTGTGTAAATACCAAATAGTTTCTCTAGTGTGAGAAACTGAAAGTGTAAATAAGGATTAAAATGAATAATTAATAATTTGAAATAGGAAGAAAAGGTCCAAATGGGTAGGAGAAGTGGGAGGGGAAGGGGAAAGAAAAGAAGGGAAAGGAAAAATTATAAGAAAAGGAAAAAAATGGAAACAAAGTCCATGTAAATAGGGAAAGGAGGACAGAGAATGGGGAGAAAATAAGAACCAAGATCCATCATGTGCAGGTACAAGCACCCAATGATAAATGTAAACAAATTGTATACCTAAAATGTACCAATAAAAGAATTTAAGCAAAAAATAAAGTTTGATAGTTTATTCTGGAAGTATAACACTGCCTTTCTGCCTGTTCCCTTAGGTCCCGTGGAGCATGTTCACCTGCGAGTTCCATTTGTTGCCATAAGAAATAAAGAGGTCAACATCAGTGCCATTGTGTGGCCGAGTCAGCCGGGAACCCTAACCTATTTCTGGTGGTTTGGCAATAGTACGAAGGTTCGGTTCTTTCTGATCAGTATCAAATTAAGTTTACATGAAGTACTTCTGTGTTGCAGCTTCTGCATTACTGTTGGAGACACCAAAAGCTAAGAAGCCATAAAGTGACTAAAACTCATCTCCCTACACCAAGTTCACTTTTTTAATAGGGAAAATTTAAATAATTCTAAAGAACGAAGAGTACTCTGCGAAACTATACAAACCTATATTTGTGTAGTTTGCTTAATTAGTATTTCTAAAATTTCATTTGTTCCATTTGTTTTAATACTGAGTTTTCCACTCATTACCTACATAATATTAAAGAAGTTACTGAGCATCTCTGATATTAAGTGATCCCATGTGTTAGGGGTAAACTAGAGAGCTAAATGTGCAGCCATGAAAATTAAGTGGCATAAGACATGAAAATTAAGTGGCATAAGACATGTAAAATGCCCTCAACAACACCTATTAGGTGTTCTACAGAACTTAGCATTCTTCTTAGGAAAGATACGGAGACTGTCTTGTCTCAGAGGAAGAAACTAAACAAGTCAAACCCTTCCCAGGCAGCCTCTGCTCCAGTGCCTGGTGGTGGTGATGCATGTGTTGAGAATGACCACAGTTGTACTATGTATCCTGAAACCTTTCTCTAATCACTATTGGTCCCTGTAGTTTACTTGTCCTTAGTGCTTTTGGATTTTGTTTCTTTTTATGTTGAGACTTGGCATCATTTTTCCTTAAATATTTGTTAGAATTCACCAATAAAACCATCTGGGCCTGGTGCTTTCTCTTTTGCAGAATAATTAATTACTGATTATATTTGTTTAAAGGTACAGCCCTATTTGGATTTTGGGTTTCTACTCGTGTACGTTTCAGCAGCTTGTGTCTCTCAAGGACTAAATTCATTTTATCAAGTCTATCAAATCTGTAAGCATAGAATTGTTCCTGTATCCCTATATTTTCCATTCGATTTCTTAACTTCTTTGATAGTGAAGTCTTTTCATTTATTTGAAATGTTAGTAGTTTGCGTCTTTTTTCTTTTTTTCTTAGCCTGGTTAGAGATTTATCAATTTTATTAATATTTTCAAAGAACTAAGTTTCATTGATTTTCTTTATGGATTCCCTGGTTCCCATTTCATTGATTTCTGTTGCAATTTGGGGGGGGCTACTTTGTATTGGATTTGTTCTTTTGTAGTTTTCTCCAGTAGAAGCTTAGACTGCTGATTTCAGGTCTTTCATCTTTTCTAATGTATGTATTCAATGCTATAAGCTTTCCTCCAATAACAGCTTTTGTTACATCCTACACACTTTAACAAGTTATATTTTTAATTTTATTATTTAAAACCTTTGTAATTTCATTTGAGATTTCTTCTTTGAATCTTGTGTTATTTAGCAGTATGTTCTGTAGTGTCCACATAGCTGCTGATTTTTCAGTTATCTTTCTGTTAATTATTTATAGTTTAATTCACTTGTAGTCTGAGAGTGGACATAATATGATTGCTGACCTTTTAAATCTGTTAAAGTGTGTTTTATATCCTAGAACATGGGTTTGCTTCAATGTTCTGTATGCATTTGAGAAGAGCATATTTTACTGTTTTGTATGTATTAATCTATTGATGTTAATTACATACCATTGATTAGGGGTTGTTGATTTCAACTATTTCTTATTAATTTTTCTCTCCTTTCTTACCATATAAATCATGTTTTGATATACTTTATGTAGTGATTGCCTAGAATTTCAGTATATATTCATAGCTAATCCAAGACCATTTTAAATAACATTACTTCATTTCATGGTTAGTGAGAGTACTTAATAATAGCAAAACAACTGTATTTTCTCCCTCCCATCTCTTATATCCCTACAGCATTCATACAGTCCATGCCCAAGTTCACATAAGAAAATACATGTTAGTAATACTATTTGAATAAACTTATCTTCTAGGTCAATTAAAAATAAGAAAGAAAGAAATATTTTTAAAAAAATATTTCAGCTTCACCATGCAATATCTAATTATTTTGTTATGAATTTTCTATAAAAGTAAGAAGAGTGCTTTTTATATTTTCTTTATTAATATGTATATATATATTACATTAAAATACAAAAATATAAAATAAAAACATTTACTTTCATCTATTCTTTCCTTAATTCTCTGTTTCTTTATATGGTTCAGAGTTTCTGACCTATATTATTTTTCCTCTCTCTGAAAAACTTCTTTTTAAACAAATCTTACAACACAGATATACTTGCCACAAATTCCATTAATTTTTGTTTGTCTAAGAAAATCTATTTGCTTCACTTTTGAAGAAAAAATTTGTAGGGTAATAATTAGTAATTTACTGTGTCTTTTCTCTAAGAAAATGATTGGTGTTTATTTTCCACTCAAAGTGTTAAACAGTCACTCCATTTTCATCTTAGCTGATGGTTTCTGAAGAGAAGTTGGATATATTTATTACCTTTTCTCCTCTGTAAGATGTTTGTTTCCTCTGACTTCTTTGGGGATTTTTAACTTCTCTTTGATTTCCTGTAATTTGGAGATGATGTGCCCAGAAGTTGGGGTCTCAGCATTTATCCTGCTTAGTGTTTGTGGAGCTTCTCGTGTCTTTGGTCTATCTGACATTTCCTTGGAGTAACTCTCGGGCATTTGTTTCCATATTTCTCCATTTCCTTTCTTTCTTCTCAATTGGGTATTCACATTACACATATTTATAATTTTTTTGTAGTTGTTGCACATCCTTGGACATTCTGCTCTGTTTTCCCCTGCTTCTTCTTTTCATTCTTCTCTTTCCTTTTCAGCTAGGAGGTTTTCATTAAGATATCCCCAGCTATCTCCAGTCAACTGACAAGACCATGAAAGTCATGGTTTCTACTTTATTAATTAGACTCTTTAGTATATTAATCATAGTTGTTTTAAATTCCTATTCTCATCTCTTCAATGTCTCCATCATCCCTGTTTCTGTTCTTCCTCTCTCTCTCTCTCTCTCTCTCTCTCTGTCTTTGCACTATTACATACCTTTTAGTATGCCTTGTACCTTTTCCTTGATGGCTGACTGTGATATGCTGGTTAAGAAGAACTGCTGTAAATAGGCTTATAGTATTATAGTAGTAGTATGAGAGGAACAGAAGTGTTCTGTAAACTTACATGACAAGGTCTCAGTATTTTAGTGAGTCTGTGTCCCTGGACTGTGTACCTCACAGTGGTTCATGGTCTCTGTGCCCCTAAGAGAGGAGGGCTGGGCTGGACTGGACATCCCTCCCTGAGGAAAGTTAGACTATGATGGAAACCCCAGCAGCTCAGTCTCTGATTCACTAGTTTCCTCTGAGGAAAGGTTTTTTTAAAAGTCAGAGAGTACTGATATATTTCAAAATGATTCATTAGCCTCTTTCCTTGCCAGAAGGACAAGGACGCTTTTCCCAACATTTATTGGGAGAATCTGGTCAATTCATGGTTGTAAAATTCACAAAGTCACAAGGATTCCCTTATGAATGACTGGATCTCCTTGGACCGTTTTACTCTCAGCCTCGTGTTTTCCTTGAAAACTCGGAATGTGGTTGGAGAAAACTTTAATTTAAAAAAATCTGAGAAAGATCAGATGAGATTTGGAAACGCTTGGCATTAAGAGAAGGGAAATATTCAGTATTTTTTAGTAGTGAGGAAAGAGAAATTTCCTACCAGGAACTCTGGACTGCAAGACTGGAAAGTGTCTCACCCGTGGTCTTTTCTGGGGAGCCAGTGTGGTGCAGTAGAGAGAACGAGGGGTGTGGATTCAGAGTTGTGGTTTAGGTTCCAGCACTGCTCCACCCTGAGTCTGGGAGCTCGACCAGGTTCCTTCTCCGGGATGTCCTGCACCCAGTAGAGAATAATACCGATCTCGTCTCCATTGTCCTGAAAACTAAGACAGCACGTATTTACTTGGCACATACTATGTACTCAACAGAGGTATGCTATGTATTGTGTCATGTAAAACATATGGAGGATGGGTTGGTAAAAAAGGGAGCAAGACTCATGGACTTGGGAGTGCCTTTCAGCGTGAATTATTTCTGCCTCGTGCTTTTAAACTAAGTTTTCAGTGTAGGTGACTGATGATGCCCCCAGGGTTATTATTCCTCTATATAGCAGATCGCCAGGTCACTTAATCAAATGCCTATCTCCTTCACCAGAGAAGGGAAGCTCTCAGTATGTGATGAGCATTGCAAGGTCAAACACTGTTAGTCCAGGGCCTGATCTCAAAGCAGGGCTCTGAATTCCCATCTACCACATAGCAACCCCACCTCAGGATGCCTTAGCTGAACAACTAGAGGTGTTTCTCCTAGAAGTTACAGACTTACCATCTTTCTTCAAAAGCCAGGGAAAAAATATATATGTCCACACACAGAGCGAGGAGGAAAAAGAACATCATTTGGGGAGAAGTTAGGAGGAGAGGACTTGAAATTAATTTCCTTTCTGAGAGTATGAGTTCTTGGCTTCCACACCAGGGAGCTCTGCACTACTGGTGCCCTCTGACCTGGTGATCGCTACCGAGAGGCTACGGCGTGCACTGAGGCTGACTCTTGACTTTTCTTAACACAGCAGTTTATGCAGAAGCCTGCCAGGAGCTGGGGATAGAGTATTCTCCAGAGTACCACTTTTTCTTTTCAGTGTTGATTCCAAGACCTGAAGGACAACATAGGGTCTGATAAGTATTTGATTGGAAAAATCAACAAATGGACAAAGTGATTGAGGATTCTAGTTTTTATTTTCCTGCTCATTATTTACATCAACTTGAACACATTACTTGAGCTGAATCTTAGAGTATGTCTAAGCAAGGATAATAATATCTGATACATGGACATCACAGAGTTATTAATTGAAGTATCTCACAAACATACCCACACATATATGCGTGTGCACATACATGGGTGTGCACACACACATTATGTCCTCTTATGAGGGGGTGATTTTAGATTACATATTGGACTTACAGTTTTACTTGTTTCACTGATGATCAGGGATATTACTTTGGTTAGGAATATTCGTTCTACAAGC